TTACTCTCAGCTATAAAAACTTTGAAAAACATATCTTTGACAACAAAACTTTATTTTAAAAATAAATGCCAACATTTCCTATATATTTTTTATTTCTGCAAAACAATTCAAAATTTACTCACTCGACAAATGGTAAATATTTATACATTTTATATTAAATAAATAAATAAAAAAACCTAGTGAAAACAAAAGAAAGATGCAGCTACAACTTCAACGTACAAATCTTTATCCTGTCAACACAAAACTCTCTCATTTAACAACAAGAACAACCACAGCAGCCAGCCAGCAACAACCACAACAACAACAACATGCAACACACAACAAATACAACACAGCGCCTACTAAAACAAAAACAACAACAACAACAAAACAATTAACCCGAAAAAAAAATACAAACCAAAACTCTTTCAAATATAATTATGAAAATTGAAATCTTTTCACCGCTACTACTAAAAAAAATTGAATACACTGTATTATATAACAACAACAAGAACAACAACAGATACAAAGAAACATTGTGTATTATATGACAAAGAACCACAACAACAACATCAAGCCAGCAACAACAACAAGAACAAGAACAACAAGCAACAGCGCCCAAAAAGCCAGCAACAGAATTCTTAAGCAAATTTTTAACAAAACGCAGCAGCAATTGAGTGCAGCAGCGACAACAACCACAACAACCAAAATTTCAGTTCTATTAAACAACAATAACAACTACAACAACAACATGAAAACCACGATGCAAACAGCTTTTTGCTCTCGCACTGTACAAAAAAAAATGAAAAAATTATAATAAACTGCGCGTCAAGTCAAGAATTCACTAACAAATTTATGCATTTAATTTATGTCTTAAAAATATATTTTTGTTTTATAATTTTTTTAATTTTCTCTTTTTTACGGCAGTGTTTAAAAGGTAGTAACAATAACAACAACAACAACTACAACAACAGTTACTACTACAAAAACCACACTTGGAACCAAGCCCAAAGCTCGACATATTTTATATAAGCGCCCACTAACAATCAAAATGTTAAAACCGCAGCTAACCCCGCCCTCGCCCCCCATTAAAAACGCCCTTACGCCTGCCCGCCTGCCTGCTCGCCCGCCTGCTCGCTCGCCTGCCTGACTACCCCTACTAACTAACTAACTAACTTACTTACTTCTTACTTAACCCAACAATAAACTTTAAAGAAGAAGAAGCAACATACTAAAAAAAACTATTACTACTACTATTTTTGTTGTGCGTGTGTAAGTTCCAAAACAGAAAGAAACCCGATAAAAAATGTATCTATTCCCTCAGTAAGAAACAACAACTACAACTATTACTACTACTACTACAACAACAACAGCTACAACAACAACAGTTATGCAACTAAAAAAAAAAGAATGCACCAAATTAAAGCAAGTCAAAAAAATATAATAAATATATACATATATATATATATATATATATATATATATATATATATATATATATATATATATATATATATTCAATTTTATGCAATCTATACAAAAAATTCAAAAACCAACCACGAAAATGCAAGCATTTTCTGTATATGTCTATATATATAAATATAGACAGTATATTCAAACTCTATATCTGGGCAGGACTAAGCATCACAACAAAATATAAACGCAAAACTCGCAGACAAGATATATATAATACTACAAAAAAAAAATAATAATAATAATGCAAGAACTCAGTATATGTCTTCTCACATAGTATCTCTTACTCTCTATCTCTCTCTTACTCTCTCTCTTTCTAATCACAATCGCAAATGAAATAAAAACCAAACAATTACCCAACACTATTCTACTATCTATCTCTATCTCGCTTGTGTTTGTCTGTGTGCAGGGATGCATGGCACGGGCAGCGACGCAGATCCACTCGCAAGAATTGTTGTTGTTGGACTTGATCATGATGATGATCATCAGCATCATGATAATACTAAAGATGTTAATGATGATGGTGATGCTAATGCTGATGATGTTGACAGCGCGGGATCAGCCATAACATATACGGATTGGAATTTGGAAACTCGAACGGATCACATAATATTACCAACTACAACAGCGACAAATACCAGAACTGCTAGTACTACGACAGCAGCTACTACAGCCCCAATGCGTTGTCGCTATAGAATGTACAATTTGAACAGATCCTTGAAATGTTTGAGCGGTGTACGCTGAAAAGTTTTTGAATTTTTTGCATAAAACTGAGAAAAGAGAAAAGAACCAAAAAAAAAAAAAAAATAACACACTTAAACAGAAATCGGCGATTTATCGATTTATTTATCGTTATCGCAATCAAATATCGCTTATCGTTATCGGAATAAAATGTTGCCAATTGTGGTTGTTGCTGTGACTGCTGTTGACAATCCGACGAGTTGCCAGAGAGAAACTGAAAAAACCCAAATCCATAAAAAATAACGAAATATTAATTGAAAAAATTAAAATTGTTTTTGGTACTATCCACATATATATTTATATAATATATATGTAGCTTATATATATAATTTTTGTTCTGTATATCATACCATGAACCACAAATTTCAAATCAAGCTACAATTTTATTTAATTTAAATGTTTATATATATATATATATATATTTATTTATATATATTTATATATATATATTTATATATATATATTTATTTATATATATATATATATATATATATGTATGTATATATATATATATATATATATATATATATATATATATATATGTATGTATAACATTTACCATTTGGGATCTGTTCAAAGTAATGTGACTATATAGCTATATAAAAACGATTTTTGGGGCATGTAGAGAAGTTGTATGTACGGGCCCGTTGGTTTTCGTCGCTCGATATGTATGTAGTTTCTGACGGTAAACAAACAATTTAAAAGAAAAAAGTTCAAAAATTAAAAAAAAAATATGTATATCGTGCACCGTTTAATGTGGAGAGAGAGCGCGTCATGAGAAACGACGACGTCGACCAACGTCGCGTATTATCACACACACACACAGCTACTACTGTGACGGAGGTGAGTCAGTTGAAGCACTCTATACTAAATATAACTACCTACCAAATACGATATCATAGTTTGTAAGTGCAAAAGTCGACGTAAGCCCCCAACCTCACCCAGGAAGCATAAGTTAAGCAAATGGCAAATGCACCAACTTAAACGATATGTGTTCAATTTTAGCTGCAGTCTGTTTAAATGGAAACCTAAACCAAAATTCATAATTGTTGATGGATTATATCAAAAAAACATACCATAAATGAAGAACTTTTTGACAGCTTTCAGTCAATCTCTGCGCTCAAATCTCTTAATTTGAATTTCCATGCTATGATTCTTACCAGAATTAATAAGAGATTCAATTTCTTAACTGTGCAAATATTGTTTACCTATCCAAAATTTTTATTTTTATTCTACAGCAGCCCAAGATCTTAACTTGTCTACCATTAAATGTCTTAACTGCCATCCAATTATTTCAGTCTCCTTTGACGAATAATAAAACTCACATTTCTCATAAACGTCAGTCGACGGTCTCCGCAAGTCTATCATTTTGTGGTTCATGGTTAGTGAACATAATTTTATTCTCTTACATAATATTAGACCTTTTTTTTTATCGCATGTATTAAATCTTAACTCTATTTTCCTGCGGTCAATTTTCAGTCAGAATATGTTTAAATGTTTCGCCTTAAAAGTCGCTAAAATTCGTATTCAATGCAAGACATTAGCCCACTTAACCATAAAAGTCTATTTGCCAGCAAATAATTGCACATAAAAATAACGTTTTTCTTGTTTTTATGCAATCGTCAAAGCATTAGTAGAACAGGTTCTAAAACTCAAGCTAAAACAAGCTGCAATAATTGGGGTCGCATTCGATTTTGTTGGTCAGTTCGTTTCGTTGGCCCTGAAAACTTGCAACAATTCTCAGATTTCTCTAATAAACGTCTTTAAGAGCGCAAACAGAATAAAAATTGTCAGCGATTCATTTAATTTGGCGCAAAATGTTTTTGGCTGTCATAAATTAATTCAATTCAAAATGTTGTTATATAAGAATTTGTGCCGCATTTTGAATTCAACATGACGACGCGTTGCTCACAAGTTGTTGGTATTTGTTGTTGTTATGGTTGTTCTGGTTGTTGTTGTTGTTTTTGTGTACTGACCTGCCTCAAAACTGAAAAGAAATTAGTTGCCTACACGTTGCGTCAGGTTTTTATTTCGTATATATTTTGCTTCTTTTTATCTCGTTCTTGTTTTTTATATTCTTTATTATATGGCATATACAAAAAAAAAAAAAAAAATACAAAAAACTGATTCATTGACATGCAAAAGGCCATGAATACCGAAGCAGCAACTGAGCCGGGCGAACGACCCGTAATATTGTATATGTATATAGACATATATTTGCATCAGTTCTCGTTCTAATGTTCTCTCTCTATCTTCTCTCTCTCTCTCTCTCTCTCTCTCTCTCTCTCTTATGATCTGGCCAACTCTCGCTCCTCTCCCTCTCTCTCTCTCTCTCTTTTGCCCAGCCTGGTGTGTTACATATTTTGGCGCTCTCTGTTAATTCGCAGCTATTGAAATGGGACTGGACTTGGATATGTGATGCTTACTCTTTTATTTTCATATTGTTTTGTGCTCCCCTGGTTAAATAACAACATATATTTAGTTATTTTCGGCCATTGTTTCGTTTGTTTTTTAACCAACTCTCTAAACAGAACAACAAACACACTCTCAAAACAGTTTCTCTTAGTTAGATTTTAGTGTACAACAACAGAAGACAACAACATGAATAAACAATACTCAGACACAGACACACCACAACAAACGCAACTCAACCCAACTAAATTCAACCCAACTCAACTCAACTAAACTCAACTCAATCAATCCAACAAAAGCAACCCAACAAAATCCAACAACCAACAAATTCAACAAATTTGTGGAAACATTTATCACGCGCAAATTGTTTGCCGTTTGCTCTTATCTCATTTCAGTTAAGGAGATTGGAAATGGTCGCTCACCATTACTGCAGGAGCCTCTTTACGGTACACGACCTCAGCCCTACAGTGAGTAGAAGGCGCCTATTCATTTGTAGTTTCTGTTTAGCTGACAAATGTTGTACCCTACGTTTTTTTTTTATTTCTGCATACCCCCTTCCCAAAAACTCCCAACGCCTTCTTCCATTATAACCACAAAATGTTTACGGTGTGCGTGTGTGTAACAGGTTGTTTCGAAATTTTTATTTAATTATGTTTAAAACATTTCGTTTTTACAATTTGGTTATTTAGTGCTACTTGTGGGCTTAGGATCGGTTATTGAGGTAGGTGAAGTTATTGTTTCTGTTACTGTTGTTGACCATTTGGCAGAGCTTAAGTTGGTTGAGCCCATTATCAAGCCAATTCACTTTTAATTACTAACTGACAAGCATTAATTACTTGAGTAATTGTGCTCTATTTGACCAGTCAAGTATAGGATGAAAAATATCTGAATATTTCCTATTCTTATTTCCAAGTGTTTACCTTTAATTAATTATAAATAATCATAAACACTAACTACATTTTAAATATGAATAACATCATCTGCCCATGCCAGTTAAGGTACACACAGTAATTACTCCAGTAATGGTGCTTTATATAAGTAATTACTCGAGTAATTATGCTTGATAAAAGTTATTACTCTGATAATTAATCCACAAATACTAATAAAAGCAATTACATGTTGACTTTCATTTTTCAAATGTATATGCCAAGAATTAATAAAGTAATCTCTTTACCTTAATGTAAGTACTCAATTAATTAAATCTGATTTCGGGCAGTTGCGCGACTTTGTGCAACAATTTCTTGATTCGAAGCATCTCTGCTCCGCTTCCCATTACATACCCATGTCAGCCTTGCCACGCCCGCTTCATACTCTACCCACATATTTTCTTTAAGCAGTTCACATGCCATTTAGCAAATTGTCTACATAAATTCATTAGTATGTCAAATGCAGCACTCTTCCACTCGTAGCGTAGAGTAAAAGTCTACTTTTCTGAGAGTTTTTTCTTTTCTTTTCTTTTACCTGGCAAACTTTTCTAATTGTTGGCACTTGAGCGTGTCTTTCGTTAGGAGCCCTCATAAAATTGCAATCATTACAATTTGTGCCCCTTTACTTCCCATTTCCATCAGCCAACTTTCTTCTGCTTTGTACGTGTGTGTGTCTGTGACATGCGAGCAATTAAAAGAAATTAAGAGCTAACAACAAATAATACTAATTAACTTGGCCAAAAGTAAAACTGGCGCTTTAAATCAACATTGGTACAGCACTCGACCCAATTTGTGTTTTGGTCTTCAAAAACAGCTGCAAAATAATCCACATAGAGCCCACAGATACTCGAAGTGCACACGTTTTATAAAGGTCCTTAAACGTGACAATGTGCTCGACTAGTCGTCAGATCAAGTGTTAGGCGGACGGGACGGTGGGCGGGGGATTTGAGTGCTGTGAAGCGGTTGAAAGTTCAGATTTCATGCACATTGCTCAAGTCTCTGGTATTTGCCAATTGGCTTGCGAAAACTGTGTCAAACGCAAAGAACTGGCTGAAGGAAATGGCAAAACCCTAAAGCAAGAAAACACATTCCAATAAGAGAGAATGAGAAAGAGTGGGCTTAGAGAGAGAGAGAGAGAGAGAGAGAGAGAGAGCGCGTATATTTTTTCAATGAACATGTGTATTCATTTTCTCGTTGACTCTGTGGCCTGCCAAACACCGTACGCCCACTAATTTTCCCTCCAATGTGGTAATCGATTTCCAGATCTATGTGTGTGTGTGCGTGTACATGTGAAGTACAAAATTAATTGATTTTTTATGAGCCAAACACTTCGAATTCAATTGCATTCAAGTTGATTGTAAAATTTTGTGGCTTTCGTTTTGTTGCGGCTACTCAGAAAATGTCAGGGTGAGAAGGCTCCTGCTCTGCGAAACGATTGTGTGAGAATTTTATATAAAGACTTCTCTATAAATATAGGATTCTTTAGAATTTGGGCATACTAAAAATAGCCCAAAATTTCTGAAAAACACAAAAGAATTCTTGTTCAAATCGCTCTGCAATTCTTGGCAAAAGAAACATATACATATATATATGTTTATTTTGCCATCATTATAAATATATTTATTTTGCATTAAAATAAATTTTTGAAATTTAATTACACAGTTAATTTTAATTTTTAAAAATTACATTTTTTTATATCACAAGTTTGGGCGCTTCTAATTTCCAAGTATTTTAAAATCTGCGTTTTCTGCGCTCTTTTTACTAAGAAAAAGTGTTCGAAGCTCTGTGAAGATCTTTATGATGGCTTAATCTGCCTAAAAATTTATATATAATAAATACATTTATTTATATATATATATATATAAATTAAAATTGACAGCTTAAATATTTAAATGAACGATGCTCATGTTCTGAGCTTCGAATTCCCAAACGGTTTAAGGTTCAGTTCAGAGTGTTTAAAGAAAAACAATCGCTTACGAGGCTCACTCAGCTGTAGCCAAGTTTTACACATTTTATTAAAACTCTTCTTCTATATTCCCCACGCCCATTAACATCTAACTAATTTGCTTATATTATTTATTGATCCCAAAACCAACTGCTCCAAAAACCAACCCAGCAGAGGCCGCTGCTGTGTTGGGCTTCATTTGGCAAGGCCAAGAGATAAAAACTAAAACCAGGCTGCGCCTCGAGGCCGCACCTAGTTACAACTTTTGAATTATCTAAAAATCGCAAAACTATAAACTAGGCAACCGCAAGACCCCGCAACCCACCACTTGCTGTTGCCCCTCCCCATGGCTTTTAAGACTTATGTAAGCTGCCTTTAGGCGCGACGTCGGCTCGTACCATAATTTTGCGCTCGAGCATTTTCTTAGCCTTGATATTTTAATTTGTGCGTAAATACAATTTTAAGCATTGCTTTGCTTTTGCATTAGCCAAGTGGAAAGTTTGTGCCATGAATTTGTTGTTGCTGTTGTTGTTGTTGTTTCTAGTGCTTTGGGGACAGAAACTCTTGATGTAAAAAGATTAAACAAAAATCCGTCTCTGACTGCCGCTCGGCTGCTGCTTTTAATTGCATTCGAGGCAAAAGTTGAACTTAAGTTCTGCCGTTGCCGTTGGTTTCAATTAGAACTCAGCGAGGGGGAGAGAGTGGAGAGGCCGGCGGTCGGAATATAGCTATATCTATGCGTAAGTATCTGTATCTATGGCTCAGCTGTAGTTGTTTCTGCACAACTTACATAGAGCTCCCCTATGCCAAGTATTTGTTGTTCTGTGGGGAGTTTGTTTTCTTCTGTTTTTTTTTTCCATTTGCTCTGCGGGGAGTTGCGCAAAACTTTTGCCCTGTTTTTCTTGCTGTTGTTATGTTATTTCATCTGCTTCTTGCAGAGTTATTTTCCTTGATAGTAGCCAAAAGTGAAAAGTTTTGCACACAAATTTTCTTCAATGCTGTTTTTGTGTGTGATAATTGGCTACGGCCACGCCTTTTACCATTGTTGTTTGATCTGCGGGTCAAAGTTTAAGTCAAATTCAATTGATTTCACTTTTCTTTTTCGAGCGGCAGCTGGAAGTTAGAAGTTTTTGAAAATTCCATGAAATACATGTGGTTTTTCACCATTCCCGCATGTTTGTTGTAGTTAGTTTTTACCACGCTTGGATAGGTTTGCTTTGGATCCGTTTCGCTCACATGCTTGAGCTTTTTTGAATGCTTGTGGTTTTGCCGGCAAACTCCTATATATATTTTTATAGCAATATTCGTTGGGTTGGGCACACAAATATTGCTGAGCGTGTACAATTTAATTGCTTGCCGAAAAACATCCAACTCTTTAATTGGAATTGTTGTGCAAAAGTAAAGTAAAGTAAATTGAAAATGAGTTTCATTTTTGTAATATCTTTTAACAACAAGAAATTGAGATTCAATTTTGGATTTCATTTTTATTGCTGACCACTAAACCAAACTCAGTTTATTTCTTTCTTTATTGATTTATGTGCGTACTAAAAGTTTGCTAATGAAGTTAAACGAAAGAAGTTAAATATTTATTGAAAATTTGTACGGTCCAATAATAATTACTAACTATTTAATTATTGGTTTTATAGGTCTTACGTGGCCTTGTTTTTTATTGATATAAGTTATTAGGCGTTTAAATATCTATTTAAATTATTAACTACAAATTTTTACAGTCTGACTTTAGTTACTTACTGGTTTAATAGTTTTGTCTCTTTGTTTTTATACTCTTGTGGAAGGTATTGAAATGTTTTCATGAAATGTGTAATGCATTAAAGGAGGCATCTTCGACCTTATAAATAATATGTATTCTAGATCAGCATCAGTAGTCGAGTTGATAAAGCCATGCTCGTTCGTGCTTCGGTTTGCCTGTTTCTATGCGAACAGTCTCTCAGTTGTAAGGCTATCGTCTTGAAACTTTGCAAACGTCCCTCTATCTGTTGCACGCAGTACACATGTAGGAACCGGCCGAATTGGACCACTATAACATGTAACAATCCGTCGGAAAATTGGCCTAAATATAATTATTAATATTAAGATAACTTGATCGAACTCAATGTACTAGTTCCATTATGATCCTTATATATATGCAATATCTGAACAATATCGGATAACTATGTCATATACCTGCATAGGAAAGATCGGTAAAATAGTAGGATCTTATAAGGCAAAATATTCAGTTTTCAAAGATATTTCAACAAACTCAGCATTTTCGTGCTGCAAGTTTCTCACATATCTGTAAAAGGGAAATGCCTATAATAGGATATCCTTACTTTCCTATTTTTATTGATGTGTTTTAAGCCATTTTTATGTGATTAGCATTTATTTTTCAACTTTAACAAAGGCAATAAAATATATTTCAAAAATGTGTTGTCAAACACATTTTCCCGCAGTTTAGCAACAAAAACTGTCAACTTTTCTAATTTCTAACCAAACTCTGTTTAGCTGCCACGCATAAAAGTTTGTTAAATTTTGCAGTTTTTCATGCGAATTTTCAATTTTCTTTTCGCCTGCTTTTCCCACTAAATGCCTTTATGCATAT